GTGATGATAAAGTGATGACCAAGAGATGATTTTGATGTCTAGATGAAATTCTTTACATTGCTGACTTCAAAAAATTCTCTCAGTATCCTACATTCAGGGTTATGGTAATAGATCTGGCTACCCATGGAGGAACTTAATTCCCATCTGTATTAGCAAGGAAGTTGGAAGTCAATGTTTTTTACTCCCAGCCACAACACTGGGGGTAACAGTGAGAAGACAACAACTGCTGCTTGCAGTACTGCCATGCAATGTTACATGAGCAGCCAAACACAGGGAGAATGCTTTGTTTGCCAAGCACTGCCAAGTTCTCCTGCAGCCTCACTAACATTATCACCATCTTCCAATCACCGGATAACTTTCTTCAGAGAAATCAGCAGGATTTCTTATTGTATCAAAGGATCAATTCTGATTTTCTGTGTATTACTACCACTAACTCAGATGAATTGAGTAAGTTATTCCTGAGATAAAATGTGCTCAGGGTTTAAATATAATTGTCCCACACTTTGATGGACATACTTTATACAAGCTAACCAAGAGCATTTATATTTAATCACATAGGAAGTCTTCATTTTAGGTAGAAATCCAGTTAAAATACTAAAACCAAAATATTTTGTCGTTTTGTTTCCTCCCTAGACAAGTCTTAGTCATTTTTCTTATTAGCAGCCTAAAGTACCATACTGGTATCCAATAAAGCCCTATTTATACATATGAATTTTAGTATTTAGCCTGCCAAAAACAATCCTGGATAGATCATGCCATAAGAACACAGCAGTAAGGTCACTAGTAGTGACTCTTATACTTTGTTTGCACAAAATCAGACAGCTTGACTCTATAATGGACAAGAATACCCCCAAAAGAAATGTCACTCTGAAAGCCTTTACTCCTGCAAAGTTTATGAGCTGATAAACATAACAAGGAATACTCAAGACATGGCCACACATAAAGGCCAATATGAAATAAAGGCCTTGAGCACAGTGCATAAACCAGTGCACACTAAATGATGAACCACTCTCCTCACAGTGGAGAGTGCATGTGTGTGTGTGCAAGAATGAGCATTTTTATACACTACATGCATAATTGCCATCACTCAAAAATATTAATTAAAATAATTATCCAGACACTCGGGACCTTTATAGTAAAGATGTACAAAATAGTATTTTAAACACCTATGACTGCCTACACTGTTGATTCGTTGTTATGGGGATCACACTGGGAGTTCAAGATGTTAGAAATGGAAAATGCTACAGAAAGAAAGAAAAATAAATGTAATTCTTCCCAGTAAACACCTTGTAATTTGATGATACATAATGAATGATTACTAGATTTGCTTAGCAGCAAGAGGTATGTTTTGGTCACCCAAATAGTACTTCCCAAATCTATCACAAAATAAAAACCATGATTGATTGTTGTTATTCTACACCAAAAAGCAACCTATGGGATGGTGAATGGGATTACCCATGTTTCTTTGATCTTTTCCAAACAGATTTCACTCAATAAACTGCTTATATGTTTTTATAATCGCATCATACTAGAGGCTGTTTTTCACTGTCAGGAAAATTTCTCTGAGTGAGAACGAAGAGTAACTAAAAACAGGTCCACAGAGATTTCCTGAAGAGCAGTAAACAGCTTTTCTAGACTCCAAAATGGGTGAAGAAAAATTTGTCTTCTGCTGTACTAAAAGGAAAAATTTATCTGAAAGCATCGACAAATATCTTCCTACATAAACTATACTCTGACAAAGCCACAATGTACATACACCTCTGCTATTAAACATTTGATGCAATGGACAATTTCTATTAAATCTTAAAGGGAAACAGTCTCAGATAACAGTTGCATTCTGCCCAACTCATATTGGTTTCACTGCTTCATCCTCATTCTCCCTGAACTTGGGAGAAAATGTGTGATAAATAAGGGGGCTGAGGAGGAATTCCCTGTTACGTGGGAGAACTGCAGCAACACAGGGCTGTTAAAGACAAATGGCAACGGGACTGGGGATAATAGCTGCTAATGCAAGACATTACACACAATGTGGGAAGGAGAGAAGCAGGGTGAAATCTTGGGTGAAAACAATATTTTGTGAATATATTTGCAAATTTGAAGCCATGTATAGCTTTGAAACCTATTTAAGGAACATACTAGTATCATGTCTTCACCATGACATTCATTTGTTGACATTTTAACAATAACCAGAGACTTGCAAGCCTCATTCATGTCAACCTGTCACTATGTTTGAAAGACACTGGACTTGCTGATCTACCTTTAGCCAGATTCCTTTGTGTACAGCTTTAAGGTATCACTGAAAAAATACAGAACTTCACAGGATATAAACTGTTCTTATACAATGAGAAGGCATAGGATTAGCTAATAAAATACATTAATATAATATCAGACACAGACAGAAGGAAATAAAATACATTTCTGCAGAAGACATTAGCATAGATATTCAATGGATTAGGAAGTTTCAGTGACAGAAGGTATATTTAATATATAAAATCTACATAATGAGAAGCAGTTGAAAAAATAGGACACCTGTCATGTGTCCAAGAAATATCTTCATAAAAAAGCTGTCACATATAAACACTCCTCAGCAACAAAACCCTCTGCAACTGAACAAGGCAAATTTAATCCTGAATGTAGAATGTGCCTCAACATGGATCTTATAATTACTAATATCCTTGAGCAAGTGGATATCTCCAAATTCAAATAGCACTTACCTTTTCCTGTTAAATGACTCCTGTCTGACATTTATGATTAGTTGTACATACAGACTGTCAGTTTATTCTAGCAAAAGGACAGTTAAAAAGGAATACAATCAATGTGTATAAATATACCCAGAGGCAAACACCTGAGAAGGGTAGGAACTAATTAAGCTCAAGGCCAATGCTGGCAGAAGAACAAATGCTAATAACTTGGCCATGAAGAAATTCAGGTTGCAAACAAAACAACCTGATGTTTTCAGATGAAAATGCACAATTTTGTGATCAAGATGACCTGGCTGTTTTGAGTAACCAGGGCTTGAGCTCAAGAGCCAAGGATGCCCCTCACTTCCAGTCATACATCCTAAAAACACAATGAATTTTAACACTCTTGCAAAACAAATAGATGTTAAATCCTGCAATAAACCTGCTCACTGAAAAAAAATATTATATTGGCTATAAATGATAAGATAAAAATACCTATAAACTCAGAAACTAATGAATTCCCAAAGGTTTAAAAATTGTTTTGCATAGTTCCGGAAGACTATTGACTCTCATTTAAACTATCACGACTCTGAAGGATCCTGTCCAGCAACAGGTAGAGCTGCTTAAATCCTGTTACAATAACAAACTCTGAAAGGTCCCTTCACTTTCTACCAATATTCCTTATTCTTGTTCCAGCCCCAAAAACTGAGAAGCGAAAAATGCTGACACGCCATGTCTTACCACAATAGAAAATAAGGAATAACTTTATCATCTTTCATGCCTCATGGGACTTGTTTTTATTCTGCCTATCACAAAACTTCAAGAAGACAATACTGAAGAATAACCAGTGCACATGTGGGATACGCCAATCAATTACACACAAAGCCCATTCACTGTCCTTTTCCACTGATTTTAGTAAATTTTATACACAAACCTATGGAAAACACACACATTAAGCAAGTGCTTTAGAATATTCAATGTTTTAGGTTATGGGGTGCTTTTTTCCAAGCTGTGAAACTAGCAAACTTTTCACTAAGAAAATTTACTCTAGAGAGGTGAACCATTTAATCCTTACACTAGAGCAATGTGCGCTTCTTAAGGAACCAGGAGGAATCTGCTCTATTGTCAGTTGAGCCTCCACCAGGATCCATGATTTAACCCCAGCTTTTACTAATAAGTATATTTTCAGTCATTAAATACAACAGCCTTTTATTTTGTGTCTTTAGCAATACTCATGTTCACCAGAAATGCCATTTTGATCAATCCGAACTTATTTTTCAAAGCGCAGAACAAATTAATTGCTTTGCTTCACCTAAAAAAATAGTTTCCTTTCTTTCTCTTCTCCCTGCCTTTTTCTTTTTTCAACTGTTAAAAAAAAACAAACCACAAAATGCATACAACGACCAAATATCGATGTCCTTGTTAATCATTTTTTCCTCCCACAATATATCTGTAATATAGCACACATGCAACTCTCAAGCAAGGAACACTCAAGCAATCCTAATCTAGGATGCCCAGACCACAACATGACAAACATTCTCTTTCTGGACAAAAGCATACTTAAATTCTTACAAAAACAAAAAAGAAGATGATGATCACTGCCAGTTTAGTGATCTTCTGTGTTAATTGATAACGATACCTATGTTTATCCTTAATTACTGTTGCTTTGTTTTATTAGAAATATTATTTGGGGTACAAAAATAATTTTGTTCATCAGATAGGTAGGATTTTTTTTCCAAAAAAATCCGTTTCAGTTTCAACTACTTTTCACTTCAGACTGAACCAGAAATTAATTATTTACAACCAGAAATTAATTAAATTTACAAGGTTCTAACGTGAAGTTATTAAAAATTGCTTTATACTCTCAAAATTCTTCTTTCTTATCTTACTTTCTTTCTTTCAAGGAAAATACCTATTTTCAACCAAGACTTAATTGCAACAGATGGAGGACATTTGCTAGTATAGCTTCTATTTTTTCCCCACTATAGTGTGTTGGTTTGTTTTTTTTTTAAATAGAAGTGTTGCAGGTGGTAAAGATAATACTGTTATATACATATATATATCTATATGCAAGGAAACATACATTCACCACTGGAAATTTCTAAGTAATTAAAAGGAAAAATAGGGCCAGCTTTTGCAGGTAGAAAGTGAACATACTTATAGAAGCTCTAAGGAAATTTTCATTGTGCTAATGCAGTGCTATGATTGTTCAAAAAACTGAGTGGATGTGATGACTCTATAAATACACACACTATTCTTATTCAGAATTCAGGACACTGTATCTCACTGCATTCTTATTCTGCCTCATTTAATACTTACAGGCAGACTGTAAGAAGGTTCCAGTATCACTGGCACTGACATCTTCCCTTGAAGATTCAATTTTGTCAAGTAAAAAATCTTTTCTCCCACAATCCTCTCCTTTTTCATACGCCGTACGCTGTACAGTCGAAAGCGAACTGCATAATTCCCAATCATCTCAGACTCGACGTGATTAAATTTGAATGTCTCTGTGAAGACAGGGCACGGTCCCCGCTGGATGCTGGTTTTTGCTCTCTGCTTCTTTATAGGGAGAAGAACTAGGTGTACTTGCCACGAGCTTCCACCTGTCCTGCTGTATGTTGGAATGTCTGTGACAGCTGTCACTGTCACCAAAAGCTTCTGTTCCTGTGAGTCATAGTCAAAAGTCACATCCAGTGTGCCATATTTAGCTACTGGCTCAGGATCAAAAGGTTTAGGAAGCTGTGAAGATGATCCTCGAGCTGACATATCCTGAAGAAGAAGAGAAAAAAATCCAATTATTTATTTATTTATTGTATTCTATTTTTAAATCTGGCATGGAAATTATGGTTTACTCCAGACAAAACGAAGGCACTATGATCTTTCTGTTCATTTCCTAAACAAGGGTATTAAGCACTGAAAGCTCAAGGAGATGGTTGGCTGGCAGTCAAGATGAAATCAAGACTTCACCTGGCCAATAGCCACCAAAAGCCAGGAGCCAACCAGTCTGAACTCATATTGAATTAAGCTGCAATTATCTCTTCTTCTGTGCCTCACATGTTAAAAAGTATATACATTTGTTACAAGATAAAACCACCTTATTTAACGTATTTTACACATGTACTTTAAAGTTCACCTATTAAATTGTTTGAAGAGACAGCTAATGATTGAGAGCACAGTGAGATGCCAACAAAGAATACAGGAATTACAAACCTTGCACACACAGCTCCTGATGCAGTCCACAAGAGTTGTATGAATATGCCAAAAATTATCGCAGAAACATAGAAACAGAAAATTTTGGGACCTTAAGGATCTTTTAGTTCCAACTCCTCTGGTATGGCCAAAGATGTTGCTATCATGGCTTTATTAATTAAATGTTACTGGAACTGTAGAAGATGCACCTGTTTTGAATTCATCTTCCAAACTCTCTGTAAATCATATCAGTCCTAAAATTGTATTTTAAACTTAAAATTCAGACGGTTTATTGTCACTTCAAATTTTGAATAAACTACTGATCCCCTATAAAGTTACAACAGCCAGTTGGATAGGGATACTGAAACAGAAAATATTTACAAGTACAGGTCAACTCACTGCTCATCCAAGTATGAAAAACAAAGGTATTTCAAGTGTGTCTTTACATTATCAAAGATAAGCTTGTTTACATGAACAAAGAGATGCCAAGACAAAGCCTTCTGGCTAAGAAATGTTCTTATTTTAACCTGGCTGCCAGATAGCTGTGGGAATACATTCTTCTAAAGGCTTCACTCCCAAAGCTTTGAGTGGCTATAAAAAAACATTGGCAGCATTCTCAGTTCTTACTGAGTATGCTTACATTAACAACTGCAGTGACACAAAATGGGAAGGCCTTGCAGCTGGACCTTCCAGACCTTGCACCAATACCCAGGTACACATCATCCACTTACCAACAGTGCTGCTTAGACACAAACATCAGGGCTGAGCTCTAACACACACTTCAAAACTTCTGGTGGCAACAAAAGACAAATTTGTACCAAAAGAGCTTCTTCTGCACATGGCATCACTAATTAGACTTCACCCATAGATGTCAGTGCAGTAACTGGTTGTTAAAGGCATTTCAATGAAATACATGTCAAAAAGATGGTTTCTTCACAGAAAAAAATACATATATATCATTACAATTTATAGGAGAAAAATAGGAACATTAAGTGGTCCAAATCACTATACAACATCAACAATTGAAAAGAAAACCTTTGTAATTTTTTTTATAAAACTTATTTTACATTATGGGATGTTCAGTTTGAAAAAGCATTAACTAACTTTTATTTGAGTTGTCTGAAAAATCATGTGGAAGAATTTTGACTACATTCCTTACAGTTTGATGCAATTTTCTGACTAGTTTAAAATGGTTCAAAAATATTTCACTCTTACTGGGAGCTGGTTTGAAAGCTAAGGTGCCACAAAGATAACTACAGCAATCTGAACAATCTGAAATCCTACTGTCCTATTTTCTGACAAACTACTTTTTTTTTAAATGAAATGAGCAGGAGTATTAGTGCCTGTATAACTGGCATTGATCTTTAGATTCAAGAAGTGCTTCACCATGCTCAACTATTTTAATTTACCTCTGGACTCAGAACTGCTGTGCTATCGCTTGGAACATCCTCTTCATATCCTTTGTTATGAAAGCTTTCTATTTCATGTCCTGTGCTTCCCTCACTTGGGCACTTATATGAACATCTTGGGCTGTTGCTACACTGGGAATATTCACATTTGCTGTCTCCGACTTCGGAAGGCGTACAGGAAAGATGAGGAGAGCCACTGTCATCCTGGTACGGAGGCGGCTGTAGTTCATCCAGCGGAGGTGTTCTTCTCATCCTCTGAATGCAGTTTGCTGAGAATAAGTGAAAATGCTTTGCTTACTTTCTGATTATTCATTGTTCAAACAGTTCTGTGGAAAATGTAAATCTAAATGCCTGGACAGAGAATTTAAAAATCTATGTATGTCTTTTTTTTTTAACTTTACATTTAAAAAAAAATTGTTGAAAACGGAAATGAATGATCTCTCAGATGAAAGAAATTTAGATAAAAGCAAAGTTTTAAGTGTTTAGTCAGAATAGATTGTGCAAACCACATGTAAATAAATATAGCACGGATATGACATGACAAAAATTCAAGGCTTGAATTTCAGGGATGCTTACCTTGCAAAAGCCATTGGATATCTTAATTCAGATTCTGTGCAGATGGAATGGAGACCAATTATGGAAACAAAATGCACTCCCTAAAGCCATGATATCAAGCTGATTACCTCCCATGCAGCTGCCCACTAGGGAGATACTAAATTAAACTCTGAAGACAAGTAAGGTACTAAAAAAGACAACCTTTCACACAAACGAACTCTGCTCACCAGTGAATTTAAAAAGTGAAGCAGTGTCTCAGATTCCTTATTACTTGTTAAGGGCAACTAAAGGGTATGTATCCAATGTCTGGAAGTGACACACTACCTCTAGTCACTAAAGACAGTGGAAAAAGGATCATGAGCAATCTTGTGCTTGGGATGAACACTTGATGCTGACCATCTTTGCTTTTCACACTAGATAGATAGATACAAATGTGGTTATACATCTCAGAAATTAAACCTGATGCATGGCTACAGACACAGAAAGTTAACTCAAAATAATTACATTTCAATTTTTTATCTTATATTTTACTATGCAGCATTACACAGTTGAACAGAATTGGGAAAAGACAGCAAGGTGTGCAGCAGCTGAAATGAAAGGAATATCAAGGACAGGTAAAGAACTGCCTCATATTTTGTTTACATTTTCTGTAGCAGTTTCAATGAAGATTTCAATGCCACTGACATAAAGAATTATCTTATACATAAAAATTTCAAAACAAAAATGTTTTCTGGTGTCAAACATACCATTTCACTCACAGAAAAACCTACCAAACAAGAAAGTTAAAGAAAGTATTAACTGGGGAATGCAGGGCTCTTCTCTAATTCAACAGCTTTTAAAAGAACCATGACAAAAAAGTAATTAAAACACTGCTACAAGATTAAACCACTGTCAGGAACTCATCAGAACACTCATCTCTGAAAAACCCATCAGCGTCAGCCTGCCATTTAGAGTGATACCAAAATACTGTTTCAGCACTCCTGCAAAAGGTCTTCTGCTGTTAGTGAGCCAGTGCTACTAACTCTTGAAAATCCAGTCCCATAGGGCTGGAAAACAAAACAGACAGCAGGGAATACTATACTTGAATTGTAGTCATCTGTCTAGCAGATAAACATAAAACCTCACCTATGAATATTAGACAACTCATACCCATGAAACTAGATAGACATAGGATCTAAACTGATATTTTAATAATAATAAAATAAAGAAGTGTATCATTTGACTGCCTATACCATGAAAACTTCCTTGTCATAATCTATATAGTAAAATATTCTAGAAAATTCAGAAAAATAGCATTTCTTCTCATTGTTGCCAAAAGGCAACAAACAGCATTAAATGATTAACCACCTAGTAGCCCCGAGTTTCTTTCTGTTCACTTGTCATCAAGTGTGATAAGAATTTTTAACACTCAGTTTTTCCATAGTCTAATGAAATGAAAGTGTGTCCAGGTAGTTATCAACACCATTATTGTCTTACATGAGTAAATAAATGACTGTATGACTCACTTTTTTCACTTGGATGAACTCTATTATATGTCCCTATGGGAAAACTGTACAGGCTGTGTGACAGAAAAGATGCTTTTAATGTAGGCATGGAAGAAGTGAAGACAAAATTCTTATTAACCAGCTATGATTCAAAAATCTCTGAAAAAGCTAAAACACTGGGGCAGATTTTAACTACATGTTTTTCAAATTTCAGTTTAACAAACTTAAATAGCATGTAAATTCTTAAAACAAGTATCTGGGATTAAAAATCTGGAGACACCTCTGTCTAGAGAGTTATAAATTGGTTTTGAACAACAGCTTTCTCTACAAAAAAAGATATCAAAGTTTTCAAATTAATTCTCAAGATGAAACTGTCTCATTTTAATTTCCCCCGCCCCACAGTAAATGATGCAATAAAATGAAATTTTTTTGTTACGGTTCTTTGAAAACCATGAAGATTTGAATTCCATCGAGACATTGTAATGACTGATGATATCAAAGCCAAATGATAGCACAGACAGTAGTGAATACAGCAATACTAAATATCTGATCCTGGGTATTTTCCTTAAAAATTACTTAGAGGTAGTGACAATCTGTCTAAAAAAATTTTGCATATGTATCAAAGTTTAAAGTACAAAACCACTGCTAGTGCTTGCTGGCTTATCACTAATTGTATTGGAGAAAAACATTTGGAGCTGAAAGGCAAAATGATCTGAAGTGTGTGCATATTTGCACATGAAACCCCTGTGTGTTACATACCTTGTACATTTTATTTAAGGTGTAAGTTTCAGACACAGCTATGCATACTTCTGTACTGTGACAAAGCCAAAGAATACCTCCCAAAGACCGCTGAATGTGGCTAATAACATCTGCTAAAGAGTTACAAGCAAATGGGTACACTGAAAATCTAAAATCAATCATTGCATTGCTTCTATGCAAGTTTCAAATCACATAGAAAATACATTTTGTAAATTCATTTGTAAATTAAACTAATCATATTATATAACCACATCACCTTGGACTAGATAGGGTAAAAAAAACAAGCCAGCATATGTCCCAAAAGTGGAAGTAAGATACAATCACGGAGAAATCGAATCACGTTTAGTCTGAGGCTCCTACCAGCCAGAAAATGGCATAACAGAGAAAAGACAAATAGAAAGAAAGAATAGAAAGACAGAATAACCTTACATTCAGTTCTCCACCCAAAGTATGTGAAAATACTTGGCATTCCCATGATATGAGTAAAACTAAATTTGTTTACACGCCTCTATAGGACAGATTGCAAATCAAAGGGGGATGATACATACCTTGCCATCAACCTCAAGAGACTCACAAGTTAGATCTGACACAGCAACCTAGGCCAAACTGAGCATTCCTGGAACATACAATTGGTAACTATGAGAAAATCCAAAAATTTTTCAGTCATTTTGCTGGGAGGGAATCAAAGTTTAAAGATGCAGAAGTTCACCAGAAGAAATGCTTTCAGTTTTGAGTTACCACTTGAAATTGCTTCTTCCAAAGCTGCTCATTTCTCCTCTCTGTTCTGGTCTCTCATGGACCATGCCAGGCTGCACATCTCGCCATGCAGCCGGTGATGTCCTTTTCCCATGTTTACAGCATTTAGACTTTCCCATCGTAATAATTTTTCCCAGAGGTCCACAGCAGTAGCACCAACCCAGTTTCCCTCAGTCCATACTTCCTGACTCATTCCAAGAACACCCATCTCTTAACATGGGAAAAGAAACTACCCTTGTGTCTTTAATTCTCCTATCTCATAAGCCATCACTAACTACACTTCTGCAGCTTCGAGTTTCACTACTTCTTTAAAAATTCACACTGTTGTAGGAGACAACAGCATCACAACACCCCTATTGGAATCTGGCTTCCAGTTCCTTTAAAATAAATAATCACTTCATAAACCAGTAATTTTTGCAAGTCATATTTTGTAATTGTCAGAATATCTTCATACTTCAATGGTACCTTTCCTTTCTCTAATATATCTCTGCTTATACTCTGCTACATAATTATTTATTTTTTAATAAAACGTAAATTTCAAGTTTTCAAGCCTTCAAGGGGTTCTATGTAAATGTTAAGACAATTTAAATAAAACATAAAATGAAATACATGTTTAAAAATTAAAGAAACCTTTCTTATTCTGAATGATTAAATACCCTTAGAGATTTCTGATAGGCAGCACAGACAGTCCAAATGGAATTTTTATGTTTGAACTTTTCTACCATCCAAAAATATTATGTTGACTGAATTACCCCACATTACAGGGAGTATAAATACAAACACTGAATATTGAATGAAATCTCAGGCCTCTGCTTCCTTTAAAATTAAAAGCTTACATGCATTTTTGTGAGGACAAAACTCAAATTATTTCACAGAACAACAAATTACTTAGGCATTATTCTATTTCTTTTCCAAAAGAGTTAAGGCATGAGTCATGCTTAATGAAAAAAGGGGAATATAGGAGAGGTGTGATCATTGTGGACAACAGAAAACAAATTCATTGTTTTTGCATTTGCTTTCCTCTTGCATTTGCCACATTTTAGACTTCTATTCACAGCTGAACTATCTTCTACATTAGACAATTCACCATAAACAAGAAAAAGTATAGTATTTGTTTGACTGGGGTTTTTTCCCAGTAATAGATAACTCTGTTTCCTAGTATTTAGAAAATTCCATACACTATGAGCTTACTCCCAGACCTATGGAAATCAAAACAGCATTGCTGTCATTTACACCTGATGTCATGTGAAGCTTTTAGCACTGCATTTTCCTCACTCTCTCAAGCTAATGTACTGGTCATTCATGCAATAAAAAGGTTCACTTTTGCTTTTTAAATAAAATTAATTTAAAATGATAGAATTATCTTTATGTCCAGTCCTTAAAACTTCAATTTTCTCCCACAAGAAAGGTCTAAGACCAACTGAAACACACATAGTATTTTTCTTTATTGTGTCTGTTTACATCTCGAGCCTGTAGAATTACAGCTGCGTTTTGTTTCCTTGAAAAAGAAATTTATTCCTTGCTCTCTGTACTTACTAAAGCACTTCTTATTTGTAAGAATTTATGGTCTGTTTTACAGAGAAACACAGAAAAGCCCAGCACTAGTGAAAAAAAAATCTCTTTCCAAAATTAGCGCCATTTATTACATTTTAACTACAAATACATTATTAAAAGCATTATTGTGAACTAGCTGTCAAAGACATTCTTTTGTTTCC